CAGATTTGAGGGGGAAATAAAAATTTTCCATGACAAGAATAAACTGAAAGAATTCATGAGCACCAAGCAAGCACTACAAGGAATACTCAAAGATAAACAAAAGAAAAATTTCCAAAGCTCCCAAACACAGGAAGTTCCAACAGAATTCACTAAATAAGAATCCAGACTGGTCAAAATATAGCAAAAAAACAAAATGGGAGGAAACCACAAATACATATCCATACTAATGCCAAATGTTAATGGTCTCAACTCCCCAGTTAAAAGACACAGATAACCAGAATGGATCAAGAAACATAATCCAACTATACACTGTTTACAAGAGACTCCTTTTAATAGGCAAAGACATCCAAAGGCTGAAAGTAAAAGGATGACAAAAATATTCCATGCATATGTTCAAGAAAAAAAGCAGGAGTAGCTATTCTCATATCTGACAAAGCATATTTCAAGCAAAAATTAATAAGAGACAAAAAAATTCCACTACATCCTAGTAAAGGTAACAATCCAACAAGAAGATATAATGATAGTTAACACTTATTTCCCAGATATCAATACTCAATTATATGGAGCAAATACTCCATGACATTTAGCCTAATGTAATAGACCTAACACAGTAATACTAGACCCTAACACACACACAGACCCTAACACAGTAATACTGAGTGATTTCAATAGACCCTATCACCAACAGACAGGCCATCAAAACATAAAATCGATAAGGATATCTCCCTCCAAAATGACACTATGTATTGAATGGACTTACCTGACATCTACAGAATATTCCACCCTAAAACAGCTGAATTTACCTTCTCAGATACGTGTGGAGCTTTTTCTAAAATAGATCATATTATAGGCCACAAATCAAATCTTAGCAAATACAACACAAGCAAACAAACAAAAAATCCTATATAATCCATGTATTCCATCAGATCATAATGGAATGGAACCAGAAATCAACAGCAAGAAAAATAATAGAAATCACATAAACATATGGAGATTGACCAATACTCTCAAATAAATAATGGATGAAGAAAGAAATGAGAATAGAAATCAAGAAATTCTTAGAAATAAATGAGAACAGAGAGATCACATATCAAAATTTCAGTACAGTATGAAAGCAGTGCTAAAAAATATTTATAGCACTAAGTACCTACATTAAAAAATTAGAGGGCTGAGGCTGTAGCTTAGTGGCTGAGTGCTTGCCTAGTGAGGCACTGGGTTAGATCCTTAACACTGCATAAAAATAAACAAATAAAGGCATCATGTCTACCTACAACTACAAAAAATTAAAGAGATCTGAGATAAATAAGCTTTTGTTCTACCTTGAGGACTTACAAAAATAACAAACTAACACTCAAACCAGTAGAAGACAAGAAACAATTAAGACCATAGCTAAAAATCAATGGAATTGAGAATAAGAAAACAATGTACAAGATCAATGCAATGAAGAGCTGGTTCTCTGAAAAGATAAATAAGATTGACAAACCGTTAGCCAAACTGACCAAAAGAAAGAGTGCAAAGATACAAACCAATAATATCAGAGATGTTTATAGATTTCCTGGGCATATAAAAACACTACAAGGAAAACAGGAAGCATCAACATATGAGCAATGAAAATGAGACTTGTACTTGATACAACTCTAAACAGATTTTTAGCACAGATATAAAAGAGGGAGCTGGAGCTAAAGGACAGGGGTCTGTGGGTTCAAATAAGAACTAGTGATGAAGAGAGGAACTGAGGTAGAGAGGCAAAAGCAACCTAAAGAGGAAACATTAACAATGGTTTAGAACTAGAAAAGATAGCAAGGGGATTTTCACAGTTAAAAAGAAAATTTCTGGGAAAAGTAGATCAGCACAGGCCTTCTCTAGTGTAATGATTTGATAGTATAAATAGCAACTATTACTACTAAGACTTACCAAGTACTTATATTAACTGCTACTGTGATTAATGTTTTATGTGTCACTTAATACAGAAAACTTGCAAGGTAGGGACACACTTCTTATTTTAGCGGAGAGGAAACTAAATGATAATAACAACAACAACTACTACTACTACTACTACTACTACTACTACTACTACTACAGGTGCCAGAATGTAAATCCTATTCTGAATAGTTCCACTGTGTTTCTTTTCCATTATTTCTAGAGGCAGCAGTAAGTAGCAGATTAATTTTTATTAGTATATACACTACATACATGATATAACTGGCAAGGTAAAGGGGGCATTATAATTTGTGTTAAAAAAACCAATTAAGCAGGTGATGAGAGAAAAAACTTTTATACTAAAGACCAACAATTTATCCTGAATTAAGGTTCTATCTTTTTATAAAGAATGCTAAAAATTTAATTTTAAAAAGTTACTAAAGCTAGACATGATGGTGTGCACCTGTTGTTCCACCTACTCAGGAGACTGAGGCCGGAGGATCGATTGGGCCTGGGAGTCTAAGATCAGCCTGGGTAAAATATAATGGGACACTGTCTCTTAAACAACAACAACAACAATAACAACAAGCCACTAAAAAGCAGAAGCAAACTTAAATTCTCAAAGTAAGAGAATACTTGGGCTGGGGATACAGCTCAGTTGGTAGGGTGCTTGCCTCACATGTACAAGGCTGAGGGTTCAATACCAAGCACCACAAAAAAAAAGGGAAAAAAAAAGAATACTCACATAATGTAATAGAGTATTGTGTAGCTATGAAAAAATTATAATAATATGAAAAACCACAGGTTAGAATGTTAAGAAATAAGGAGATGCAAATTATAATGATAATGAAAACTGCAAAAGTTACAAACGAATGAAAGGAAATTTGTTAAAACAGACAAAATCTGTTTAAAAACAGAAGCAATAATGTGTGGATAGAGGTATAACAGGCAATTTAGTTTCTTCTTTTTTTGGTGGTACTAAAGATTGAACCCAGGGCCTCACACATGTAAGGTAAGTGTTCTACCACTAAGCTACATCCCTAGACCATGATTTACCTTCTTTATATTTTTTCCTATATTTTAAAAATATTTACCACAATGTGTACATATTTTTCAGGAAAAAAGTAGTAACTAGCAAAAAAGATCTCTTTAATTTTCTTTTCATTCAATGACTTCTGCCTTAATACTCCTTGACCTCTTCATCTGTCTGGTTCCATCTTACTATTTAATAGGAAGTGGGCACTCTCATGTGTCTGTGCTCTATGGTTACTATACCCTGCAAAGGTGGCAAGGCTGAGTAGAAGGGCACCAGGCTAACAGTTGTTTTTACAAAGGTATTAAGGATCATGACTAAGCACACAGACTGAGTTAGAATTCTACTCTTATATTACTTATTTCTCTGAGGTTATAAATTTTCCAATATGCAAAAAAGTTAAAAAATAATTTTTTCTCATGCAGGATTATTATGATTTAATAAGCAAAAGCATGTAATATAATTGGCACAAGAGGAAAATAAAAGATAATTATTACTTGGAAAGTGATGTGCCCTTGTGTTACACAAAACAAACTAGACTCATATTTTTATCCGAATCAGACTTAATATGTCCTCAAAAGTGCAGTGACAAAACATTTATGTTCCTACCCTGTAACCTTAAGAGATGAGCATCGATAAGGCCTCTATATATTTGAAGGCTATTTCCTTAACTGCACTAGCCTATTTTGTTACTAGTGTACCTGCTCCATTTCTGTAGTCACTTAGAAGACTCTAAACTCATATCAAAGTATGTAAGTTACTCTTATATATAATTCAGAGCCTAGTATATTACCTGGGAATGTTTGGTCCGCAATAAGATGTTTGGTGAACAAATAAAACCTTATACTCTTTCAGTTGCAAAGATTGTATTTCTGTGCCTCCAAACATATTATATAAGATCCAAGTGTTGCCAATTAAAAAGAAATAAAATGTTATAGATTGGATATGCAATGTCCCCCAAAAAGCTTATGTGCTAAAGTATGAGGCCCAATGTTTCAAAGTTCAAAGGTGGGTCTTTTAGGCAAAGATTGGATCATGAGGGCTCTGAGAGATGAATGGACTCCTGGGAGGTGAGAAGCAAGTAGGTCAACAGAAAGGTTTATCTGCCTCTTTCTCTGCTTCCCAGCTGTCATATGCTGGGCAGCTTCCCTCTGTAATGTTCCACATTTCTGTCTAGGAGCCGGTGGACTATGAACTGAATCCTCTAAAAACAGTGAGCCATGATAAATCTTTCTGAATTGTTCATCAGGTATTTTGATCAGAGACACAAAGCTGACAGATACAACAAAGGAATCCAGTCTATTATAGTACTAACCACTGTCATTTCTGTTCTTCTAACCCACCTAAGCCAGAAAGAGAGGCCTAGTTCTGCCACAAGCGTCTCAACATAAGCACTCCAATCAAGGCACAGTGGAACAGTATACTGTTTAGTATTCTTTTTAAAATTTCATATTTCAGAAAAGTGGCCATATTAAATAGTAACTTAATGACATCCTTAGAACTGCCAGTGTGCACTGAAGAGTATGGTGGCACTCCATAAATAAACAATCAATTCATGCAATTAAAATCAAACAACCACTATTTCTCATCTGAAAAATAGGAGTAATTACACCCTTGTAATAGGATTACTATAAGGATAATGGGCATGGGATATATACAGCACTTAGCACAAAAGTAAGTACCAAATAAATGATACCTGTTATTAGAATACCTGAGGTAAACCACATGCAGGGGTATTAACATATATCTTTGTATAAACTAATTTTTGAACAGCAAAACAGTCTAGTAACTTGAGGCTCATTTTATAATTACACTGCAGTACAGTTATGTTTTCCTTAGAACTGCACACTGGCAGTTCTAAGGATGTCATTAATGTATGAAACTTCAGTGAAAAAAGTTAAAACCTTTTTATATTTTTATTTTAATTTAGTATCTGAAATTTTATAATTTAAGTTGAATTTATATTATTTTCCATGACATAAAATTATAAAAAACTAAACCAAATGAAAATATTGATAAGCATTCTTTAAGACATTATATATTTTACCTGGCCATTTCCAAGCAGAGATATGTCTTTCCCCATTAGAAAATAGGATCCAAAGAAGAAAATAAAGGCATGAGTGAAACCCAGGATGGTCCAATAAATAAATGTTTTAATGCTTAAGAGACTGTTTTTACTAATGTCCCTGTGAATTAAAAAAAGGAATACATTAGGATTCATATTTTACCTACAGAATAATTATTATAATTTGATAATTTAAAAAAAACAAGAAGTTTTAATTTAAATTTTTTAGAAAATATTAGAATAATAAATATGCTCAAATTGACAAACCACCAGTTCTAGTAATAGCATACATAGGGGTAACAGCTTATAGTTCACATAATGAAATTCATACATTTTCTCATTTGATAAAGAAATATATGGGCATTATTACTTCAGTTTAGTTGTGAAAAGCTGATTTATCTGTATTGCATTCTGTTGATTTTCATCCAGTCTGACTATGTCTCCTTCAAGTGAGGTCATTTGAGCTGGCTTCTGCATTGAGGGTCTTAATTAATAGCATTTTCAATAATAGTTATTATGGGGAAAAATAATCTATGTTAATCTTGGGTTAAGCCCTGTGCTAGATAACCTGGCAAATCAAAGTAAGTTATTTTATATTTGGATAACTGGATACACCTCTGTAAATGGTATCTCCGTAGCCTCTCTATAATAAGAGTTTATGATGTGAACCTTCAGCTATCCCTGCCTGATTCCAGAGCTCTGGTGATAACTTGCTTCTAGAAAAGCAGGAATAAAGCAGAGAACAGGGATCAATATCGACTTGCATTTTGCATGGATTATCATTCATAAATTTGGCAAGAGTAAGACATAAACTAGTTCTTAAGGAATTCTAGAGACTAACAATTACTGAAATAACTTGTCACACAAAGTAGAATATTATTGGTTTACAACAGGTAAGTACAAATTACACAATCACCCAAGGTATTAATGGAATGAAAGCATTCATTCTTAAAAACATAGGAAAAACTCAAAATTTCTCTTTGATATTCAGCAACTATAAACCATAAAATAATCATGCTTAGTAAAATATTTTTATTTATTTATTTTTGTGGTGCTGGGGACTGAAGCCAGGGCCTCAATAGCTAAGCAAGTGCTCTACTACTCTCCAACCCCTTAGCAGACACTTCTACATATTTGCTTATTTTTTAGGTACACGTTAAACTGCTAACCATTAAATACAATACTTGTAATCAGAAAACAATGGACACTTAAATGCTGGAAAATACTTACCGATAGAGGGTGGGCTTGTTCTGTAATACATGAGGGTCTATATGCTGTTCTAAAAGACTATATATCAGAATAGGAAGGGAAGTAAAACAAATATTGTATAAAGTCAGGTACACGCTGTCATACAGTGTCTAGAAAGAGAAATAAGAGGAAATTTTGACATTCTAAATTATGTATTCCTATTATATTTTTGTGTATAATCACAAATAAGCATGTTAAAAAAGCATAAAACTACAGTTTTTTAAATTACAACAAAATCTACTTTAATTATTATGATTATTTTTAGTTGTAGGTGGACACAATACCTTTATTTTATTTATTTATATGTGGTGTTGAGGATCGAACTCAGGGCCTCACACAATGCTAGGTGAGTGCTCTACTGCTGAGCCACAACCCCAGCCCTCCAATTAGTTTTTTAAATGGACATTAACATATAGTGTTCCTAGATTTAAATTCTGTGTAGAAACTGAAATATTTTGCTATGTCAGTTGTTTTTGGAATTATAGTGAACTGGATCTATATTTCAAAATTCTCCACAACTTGGTCACTGTGATAATAGTTTTAAACAATTCTATATGCATCCTAAGCTTCTTATTATCCCTTCGGTATGCTACACATATAGTTTTGCTTTCATGGCTCGTCTCCCCATCTACATCCCTCACTCTCTTTAGGACATTAAATAAATAAGTCTCAATTTCTTCCATGAAACTTTCACAGTGACACAAGTCCTTGCTGATAGTGTTCTTTAAAGAGTCACAGATGCCACTATTGGTACTAAAAGCTTAGCACTGTGCCTATGCTTTTATATGTTGTTTTATTGCTATTAATACTGACTCCCAAGTTATACTGTAAACTCCCTGAACATGTAATCAAAAAAGGCCAGGTCCCCTTGTCATATGGTCTTATAGCATTCTTTATTTCATTCAGGTAAACTGTTACTGACAATTAATGCCTACCTGAGTAGATACCTAAAATTTAGAGTTCAGCTTGTACACAGAGTTGAAAATAGTAATTAAGGAGGAACAACACATGAAAAGAAAACCTAACAACTTAAGATAATTAAGTTCTTATTTTTTTCAATAAATTAGAAACCATGTCTTGCTCAATTTGATAAAGTATGGTATGAAAAGGGTGCTCAATTAGTCAGAAGCAGTAGGTCTAAGTCATAGTTTAGTCATGAACTTAGCTATCTTATTTTGGGCAAATTACTTAATCTCTTTGAAATTCACTTTCCTTTTCTGTAAAATAAAACAGTAAATCAGGAATGGCAAATATGAGACATGTATACAATTAAAGACCCACTCTGTGCCCATTACAATCACTAATAAATTACAGCATTTTCCCTCTCTTAAACTCCAGAAACCTTTTTAACATAGCATTCTAGGTGTTTCTATCAATTATTTACATTAGCTTCTGTGGTAAAACCTGTATGTCATCCCTGGACTAAACCACTAAAGTTCATAAAAAACTGTGAGTCATTGAGCTTAGTAGCTCAATGGCAGAGTGCTTGCCTAATATGTGTGAGGCACTGGATTCAATGCTTGGCACCACATAAAAATGAAATAAATAAAATAAAGGCATGCTGTCCATCTACAACTACACATACACACACACACACACAAAAATTTAAAAATTGTGAGTCAAGAATTAAGATGAGGTGAACCACTAAAGAGTTATTTGGTGTGGCTTCATATGGATTCTATAGAAGTATCACAAAATAATTGAAACAAATTATCAAAATTTTCTCACAAGCTGTTAAAGAGTTAATATCAATTCTTTAAAAAGCATCCAGAATTTTAATATATTTTGTTATCAACATTTATCTCAAACTGAAAACTAGAATAAATAAAATTTATGAGTGATATGCTAATTGCTAATCAGAAAAGTTTTGTCTAATTACTTACAGGACTAAGAAAAATGAAAAAAAAAAGCATCATGAATTAAAATAAATTTTTGGTATCAACATTAACTTTAGACTGAAAACCAGAATAAATATTATGCATGTTATGCTGACTAAGCATACTACTCAGAGAAGTTTGTATAGTTACCTGCAGGACTTAGAAAAGTGAAAAAGTCCTTCTAAATATCTATCAAAATTTGAACACACTTATCTTATTCTAAAAGAACAAAACACAAGCTTCTATTTACTTACTTGTTGAGAAAACAAACAGTAGAACTGATATAAAAATTGGGGTGTGATAAAGCACACATTCTGAAAAAAAAAAAAGATTAAATGAAAAACAATTAAAATATTTTGGACTAAAAGAGAAAAAAATTCCTAAATATGGTAAAGGGTCCAGAAACACAATCTCAGTTAATATGGCAACCTGAGGATTTTTTTCATAAGGACTTGTCAACATAAAATGGGAAAGTAGGTTTCTTATTCTATTAAAAAAATACCTAAAAGAATTTGAAGGAGCAGTGTAGATATGAGAATGAACATACCCTCACCTCCCATCACTGCCAAGTAATACCATTATTTTGAATTTACAATCTTCCAATTCTCATTCAATATAGTTGAAACACAGTACAATAAGCAAGATTTACTTAATTTTTTGGGCCATGATAGCTTTACAATGCAAAAATACTTAAAGTACACAATAAACAGAACTATCAAAACATTTTATGACCTCAATCTATTCTCATATTACAAGTAAAAGCCAGAACAGTAAATTAGAAGAAAACTGCCACATCATTTTATAGTAATATGTAATCTATGTTCTACCCCGGCCTATAGCTATAAATTATAAAAATATATGCAATATAAGACATTCTGGCATATTAAATGTTTTAGTAACAGAGGCATTTAACATGTCGTCTACAGATTCCCACATTTCCCAAAGGGTCCAGAGATAGGATTACAAATAAAAATGTTGAAATACATTTCTAAGTATTTCACTTTATGCATACAAAAACCCTGTACTGAGAAGCTCACCACCTTCACTAACTTACTAACAGACCAATGATGGTAACAAAACAAAACAAATTTAACCTCTGCTTGAAATCATCATGTTGGAGTTAAATTAAAACTTATTGACTCAAGATGAAGTAAACTTAAGGAAATCAAACTTACTGCAGCTGAATCTGTACAGAATAAGACATCAATATAAGTGTAAGTTTTGATGTGTTTTGATAAATTTATATATTACCAACATCGCCATAAGATTAGAGAACTCTCCCATCAATTCCAAAAGTTCTTTTATATTCCTTTCTAGTTAATTCTAACACCTATACTCTTGGTCCCAGAAAACTACTGATTTGCATTCTGTCAGTACATGTTAATTACAAAGGTACCGCTATTTTATTTACAGAAACTATTTTTTAAGAATAATTTGCAATGAATCAAAATGCATTCTGCTGTCATATATACCTAATTAAAATAATTAAAGAATAATTAATATGGTTATAACATTCCTTAAATTAAAATTTCAAATTACTACATCAATAATTGATCCTAAAAATCCATATAAAACTCACCTTATAAAAAAAATACTGTACAAGGGTAGCTATTCTAATATAATAAAAATGACCATGAACGAAAAGTAATTTAGAGAGGAATTTAAATCTGGCTATTGCATAGTCACTGTTTCTTGCAGCCTGTCTTCCTTCTTTACCCATGATTCCTGTAATAAAGAAAACAAAAAGGAATGTCCACTTATAATTCATAAGTTTAATTTTCATGAAATAGCTATAAATATCTTAAATATTTTAGTAATTGAACCTGGACTTAGAAACACTAAATCCTAATATACAGAAATTAGCAGCGATCCAAAAGGTTGTTCTACTTAAATGTGTAGTTTAATATAAAGCTGTAATATATACAAGACATGTAACACCAATATTCAAAGAATTATAATATAAAAAAATACAATTAAAATAAAAATAATATTAAAAGTTCAGGATCTAGCAGAAGCATCAATTATTGTACCAATAAGCACAAAGTATTGGGTAATAAACATCTAATGAAAAGAGTGCTAAACAACTTTGTCTTTACTAGTTCTAGTGAATATAAAAAAGTTAAACTTGAACAACCTTGATGTAGTAAAAAATAGGCATATTTAGCTACTTCAAACTGTCATAAATAAGTCAAATGTGCTTTTTAAAAGAAAAATGTAAATTAAAAATAAATAAATTGAAAAAAATGTACCATCTGAAATCAGTGCATCATTTTATCTGAAAAAGAGTACTTTAGGTTACAATAATCCTTTAGGTTTCAAAAAAACAAATCAGAGATCACCATGTTTGTGTTTTTTGACCCAAAGCAACTTTTAAAAATTATTTTTCAAAATTAACCTTTAAAATTTTTGTCATGGGGCTGGGGTTGTGGCTCAGTGGTAAAGTGTTCGCCCAGCATGCATGAGGTACTGGGTTCTATCCTCAGCACCATATAAAAATAAAATGAAGATATTGTGTCCACTTAAAACTAAAAAATAATTATTTTAAAAAATTATTATGAAAGTATCAAAATGTTCTAAATGAAGAAGCAGAGAAAAAAATCTATATTCACAATACTTATGGGGAAAAACAATTTTTAGCCTATATTCTCTTAGAATTTTTCTTTCTGTATTTTACATGCATGTGTAGATGTATTTAATATATAAAAAAATGTGTACAAAAATGAGAGTATTTGTTTTGTAACTTGAATTTGTTACTTTATAGATATAAACTTTATTGACGATATACATATCATTACAACACGTTAATTATTAGAAGAAATTCCTGGGTGCACTATTGATCAAGAAGCACAGAATTAAACTTTTTTGTCATGCACAATAATGCAGGGCATACTAGTTTACACTCTCCCTAAAGCTGTATAAAATCATTTTTTATTCTGTATCTTTGTCAACTTCAGATTTATCAATCTTTGTAATTGTTGCCAATCTGCTAGGCAATTTTAACTTACATTCCTTTGATTGTTACAGAGATGAAACACTTTTTTCATATACTTTGTATTTGTCTTATACTTCTCATTTGGAACTCACATCTTTCCACATATATCTATTAGAGTGTGACTCTTATTCTTGTTAATTTGTTAAGACTTCACATATTTAGAAGTATTAAGACTTGGTCATCTACTTTACAAGTGTTCCTTACTAGTGTCCCACTGAAATTTGTTTTGGGGGAGATTTTACCTTTGCCAGACATACTAATTTTTTCTCAATAACAAGAAACTTCTTAAGCCAGGTGCGGTGGTGCACGTCTGTAATACCAGTGGCTCAGGAGGCTGAGGCAGGAGGATCACAAGCTAAAAGCCAGCCTCAGCAACAGCAAGGCACTAAGCAACTCACTGAGACCCTGTCTCTAAATAAAACACAAAATAGGGCTGGGAATGTGGCTCAGTGGTCAAGTGCCCCTGAGTTCAATCCCTGTATCCCCCCAAAAAACAAAAACAAAAAACTTCTCTCAAGTTCCTTGCTTTGGTATTGTACTTAAGAGAACTTTCCACTACTCAAATAATAGAACTATTCATTACATTTTCAATTAATTTTTATGGTGATAAATTATTTAAATCCTTAATCCATTTGGAATTTCTTTTGCTTTAGTAATAGAAGACTTAACTTTTTTCTTCTTTCCCAAATAACTAACCAGTTTAATCAACACTTTTTATTGAATAATGTGTTTCCTTTCTTATTTGAAACATCTCCTTTGTCAATATAAGCAAATTTTTTATGCTTTAATGTATGATATATGAAATTATCAACTTATTATGGAGATTTAAGGGGAACAATAGTGTACAAACTAGAAAGAAAATTAAAATTTCAAAATGAACAGTTAATTATCCCAAAGAGGAAGGAGTTATTTTGAGGGATAAATTGGAAATAGTAGACTTGAAAACTGTCATAGGCAATAATGAAGACTATTACATAACAAATGTTAGCCTAACTCTCAAATTTTATCCTTTGACAATAGCAAAAAAATCTATAACCATACTTTTCTCTTTGACTCTGTATTTATAATATAAAATGACAGAAGAAGATAGTCAGAATATGTTAAAGTAGGAAATGATTAATAATTTATTAAATTTATTATTTATTATAATTTATTACTAATACTAATGGTATTAGTACTCTGAACCCAATTAAGTCTTAGACAAAATAGAAATTAGAATAAAGGCATTAAAATCACAAAATTATTTGACATTTTATCTTTTTACTATTGCTTAGTATTATTTTCATCTCTAAATATTGTCTTCAAATGTGTTACAGAACCTTTAGTTTCACAAATAATCACAGTAATTCTAAAATAAGAATTTGGGGGCTGGGGCTGTGGCTCAGAGGTAGAGTGCTCACCTAGCATGTGTGAGGCAATGGGTTTGATCCTTAGCACCACATAAAAATAAAATAAAGATATTGTGTCCACCTATAACTAAAAAATAAATATTAAAAAAGAATTTTAAACCATAAGGGCAACCATGTAAATCATAAATTTATAGATAAAATAATGTGAAAGTATTTTATAAGGTATGAGATGGCATGTAAAAATAAAGTTATTTTTATTATAAATTAAAATTGGCAAAAATATGATTCACTAATGTAATATTTCCTTTAAAATTTTAACTAAAATATCCTAAATAGTGTGCCTAATTATAATCATTTCTGATGCGGATATACTAGACATATTACCAACATTGCATTTAGTTTTCATTTATATATTTGACATTGTATTTTAATTTTCAAAAGGAAAATCCAAAAACACCAAATAATTACAGACTTTAAAATTCAGGAAAAAAGTCAATCACCTATGCCAACATGTGCTTCTTGTATCATGCTTACATCATTAGCACCATCACCAACAGCCAGTGTTATAGGTTTCTCAGGTGAGATTTTTATTAGTCTTATTACCTGGAAGACATACAATGAATTATTTCTTTATGATAAAATTTTTGACTGTCTTGCATTGTGCAATGTCATTTTTCTCAAATGACTACAATAAGGATAATACTAAAAAATATTTAATTTTATATTAGATAATATTATGCACTGGGGTTCATTTTTTTGAGGAATGCCTCCAATAAGGTTTTAGGAATGTCTTTCAGAAATGTCATAACCAAACAGGGTATTATGTTTGAATTTTGAGTAATGAGAAATAATTTTTAAAATGTATCTTAAATTTTCAAAAAGTAATAACTTGTATAAAAAATAAAATTATTAATAAATAACTTCAAATAATTGAATTGTCAGATAAAATGTTTTTTCTTATTCGTTTACTTGCTATCGAGGAACAACCATTGTTTTCTTTTGTAATAAGCAAAATCTGAAGTTTAAAAAAAGCAATCAATTTTAAATTCAGATTTCTCTGACATTCTTGAATGCCCTTTTGTAAAGAACCTAGGCAAGCCACCCATGCGCAATCCCAGCAACTTGGGTGGCTGAGGTTGGAGGATCAGAAGTTCAAGGCCAGTCTCAGCAACTTAGGCTCTAAGCAACTTAGTAAGACCCTGTTTCAAAACAAAAATAAAACATAATAATTCTACTACTACTACTACTACTACTACTAATAGGGCTGGATGTGGCCTAGTGGTAAAGCACCCCTGGGTTCAATCCCTAGTACCAAAAAAAAAAAAAAAAAGGAAATAACAAGAACCTAGGTATTAACTCTGTTTGGTCTCCAGTTTCAGTATCCATAGATTGGTTGTGGTGTTTTGAAATGAAATGTACCCAAAGTCTCATGTATTGAAGGCTTGGTCCCCAATGCAGTAATGTTCAGAGGCGGGGCTTTTAGAAAATGGTTGCATCATGAAGACTCTAACCTCATCAGTGAATTAATCCATATGGGATTCATCATTTAAATGGACTACTGGGAAGTGGTGGAAACTGTTGGAGGTGGGATCTAGTTGAGGTGAGGCGTCTTTCAGTATATGCTCTTGGATGACTATATCTTGTCCCCAGGACCCCCATCCCCTGCCTTCTGGCTGTCATGAGCTGAGCAACTTTCATAAGCCATGTTCTTCAACCAGGGAAGTTCTGCCTTGCCTCATGCCCCAAACAATAACCACAGACTGAAGCTTCTGAAACAGTCAACTAAAATAAATCTTTCCTGCTCCAAGGTGATTTTCTCAGGTTCTGTCACAGTAACAAAAAGTTAACCCATTAGGATATGTGAATTATAATATGTGCACTATAATGAAATTCCTTAAAGCCCCCCAAAATTAAATTATCTAATTTATTAAGACTTATATGTGAAACAATCCGTATTTAGATGTGCATTGCAAGAGGTATTTGTGAAGAATATAGCCTAAGTCCTAATGTGGGATTACAAAAAATGTTTGCATAGGCTTTCACTTGAATCACAGGTAGCTAAAAATAAATATTTCCTATACATAATAGCTATGCATTACAAGTGAATTGGCTTTTTAACTTTTTACTAAAGTCTATTTATCACTTGATAGCCACTTTTAACAAAGAATTATCAATTCATGAGAATGTAGAAATAAGCAGAGATCAACAGAACCATCTGAAAGTGCAGATGAATTCAAGACTCCTAGACTCTTTCACTAAGTAATTTGTTCAATGTTAATTATCACAGTTCAAATTTGTGTTTGACAAGATCACAAACTGCTATTTAGTACAGACTTTCTGCGTCATTATGAATACGTGAAACTTCAATATGTACTCTTTTGAGAATCCTAAAAATTAAATGGACATGATTAAAATTCATAATATGGGAAGAGACTGGCTCCTAGAAAGATTCATATACTGCATACCACCATATTGAAACTATTTAGGCATTAACCTTAATATTTTTAGATCTAAATATCTTTATGGAACTTGTAAAATATACATACTTTTGCTTTCTGCAGTGGTGCCATTCTACAGCATAATACAGCTGAACAATTTCTGCAAACTTCCATAAATAGTTTTTCATGTTCCCTGAGTGCAAGAGATAGGCTGGTCCCATCCACTACCAGCCCATGCTGAATCACATGATCCTCTGTAATTCTGAAAGAGAAAATATATCCTCTGTAAGACAGAACAAAAAATTCTTTCTTTAAGATGGGTAGTTCAACCATAGACTTAATTGTTATAAGATTGACATGCCAGGGAAGAAACTCAGTTGTATTATCTGTCAACAATATGATGAATAAAATAGATGGATATCCAATTTTACAACAAACTGATATATAAATATTGTATCAGTCCTAAAATGTGAATTGTAACATACAATCTGAGGATATGTTTCAAAACTGTATGAAAAATACTTACAAAAATACAAGCATTATTTGTTACATATATTTAGTAAATCCTCACTTTAAAAGGTTAAATGAAATCAAGAATGTTTAGGAAAACCCATGTACTACAGTCAATATGTGTAAGTAGGAAGGAAAGAAATGAAGCAATAGTAATGTCCACTGATACTAATTCCTATACTGGATTGTAATGCCAGATGTTACTATGGTGGAACAAAAATAACACCCTACTTGTGGGGATACAATAAACAAATGTTACTCAGGGTATGGTCTGCTTACTAGCATTTGGTCAAACTATTTGTTGCTATAAAGAGGTAACGAGGGTACACTAGTAAGGAATCAACTATATCACTAAACATATTATTTTGTACAACTTTTTCCCTCTAATCCTCCTTTGGTAACTAGAGTTTCTTCTTCTTTTCTTTCCCTTCTGGTATTGAGGATTGAACATAGGTATGCTCTACCATTGAGCTATATCCCCAATCCTTTTTATTTATCATTTTGAGACAAGGTCTTGCTAAGTTGCCTAGATTGGCCTTGAACTTTCAATCCTCCTGCATCAGCCTTCTCAGTAGATTAGGTTATAGGTGTGCCACTGCACACAGCAGTTATAGGAGTTTCTTGATAAAGTAATACACAGATTTACCTCTGGTGTACACTCCTTTATGTTGTGAAAGCCGGCACTCAAGGTAACCCTATGTTACATAAAGAAAGTACTACAAGGGGGAAGAGGGGTAGGAATGGCAGTGGAATGAGATGGACTTCATAACTCTAAGTACATGTATGAAGACATGAATGGTGTGACTCTATGTTGTGTACAATTAGAGATATGAAAAATTGTGCTATATATGTAAAATTAATTGAAATGCATCCTGCTGTCATATATAACAAATTAGAATAAATTAAAAAATATTATGCTAAGCAAAAGAAAAAAGAAAGAACTACAAATTCACAGGATGCTTCTGAGAAATATCCCTCCATTTTAAAATGAGAAATAAAAATAATAATAAATAAGCAACAAGCTATAAAATCTAACCATTCAGAGATTTTAGTCTTATAATAGAAAAATCTTTCATAAGTTAAAAGGATGCCTTTTGTATTCTGTCTAATCATTATTGTGTTGCATTTCATTTAGGCAATGTATTCCACACCATGAAAATCTTTAAAATGTCTATATTTTCCCTTTACTTAATCTCCAATAACTAAACAGAACACCTATGCTGACTGATTTTGTTCCCTATTTAGAAACCTGGGCTGTGCCGGTGTCTTCTGCCTGTTCTAAGCATTGCCTGAACAACATCCCTCAGAAGCAGTAGCAGCCCAGAGTGGGACAGATCAGACCAGTTTTCCTAGGGAACCTTTCCAAGGAACTCTAAATTCAGTATTCCTCTAGGCAGGCTTGGTAAATCTATGGGACAATATTTAGGAAATATGGAAAAACATCTAAGTTCTAGCACACAAGAGACAGCATGTCCTCATCTCAGTGGCCTCATATCTCACCACTCCCTCGTTCTCTAACCACACTTTACTGTCATGCACCCTCCCAGCTCTTGGATCTTGCACCCGCAACCCCCTTTGCTTCTTTTTTAAAAATTTTTTTTTTTAGTTGATGGTAAAACTCATTTTTAAAAATTATTTATTTATGTGTGGTGCTGAGAATGAACCCAGTGCCTCACACATGCTAGGCAAGCACTCTACCACTGAGCCACAACCCCCCTCCCCCGCCCTTTTGCTTCTTGCTTCTTGGTGTCACTCTCTGCCCAATTTATAGTTCATCTCTCAGGAGGTAAAATAGCCATCAGTTCTTCCAGAATGCTCCCTGCTAACCCTGGTCTGAGGTTAAGCTTCCCTCTTCTGTCCTCCACAACTTTTGTTCTTGCCTCAGTTACATTTCTATTGTGACAGGTCTATGGACAGTGCACTCATTTCTTTGTTCTCCCTATATACTATTAATAATTTTGAGAGTAAACACCACAAGTTACAAGATCATGCTCCTAGCATCTAGATAGAGGAGATAATATATGTTTGTGAAGAATGGATACAAAAAGCAAGACTCTCAAAGATATGGAATTCTTTGCTCCACTCCATATTTTTGTTAAAATTTAAGAACAGATACATATGAAAGTCTATACACCAAAATCCTATTCACAGTGGTCATATGAGAAACTGTATTTCACCAAAAAGATACATTTCTAAAATATAATATAAATTTTACATAGCAAGTGCTTGGTTTGTCACCTCCAAAGTTGGTGAAACTTAATCCTCATTCTGATGGTACTGATAGGTGGGATTTTTTGGGAAGTGATTAAGACATGAAGGCTCTGCCCTCATGGATTATTGCTCTGATAAAAGAGGCGTCAGAGAATTTGCCCTTAAGGCTGGGGATATAGCTCAGTGACAGACTGATTGTCTAGCATGCCATGAGGCCCTAAATTCAATCCCCAGTACTAGCAAAAGGGAAAACAAAACAAAACAAAATAAAAACACTGAGTTTGCCCTCTCCTGTCCTTTATTCCACAACTTCTACCCAAATAAGGTGCAAGCAGGGAGCGGCCCTCACCATGTAACCTGCTTGTGTGTTGATCTTGGACTTTCCAGACTGTAGAACTATGAGAAGTAAGTTCTTGTTCATTATAAATTACCTAATCTCTGGTACTTGGTTATAGCAATGCAAACAGACTAAGATAATAAGTCTAAAATTTACTATATGTAAATTTTAAATTTAGGTTACTTTATGTAAATTTTTAGGTTTTAACTTATAGACATGGAATATAATATGTGTATACTTTTTACTTAATAATACAGTTTTTGTAGAAAAAGGGAAATGAATACTAATGATCATAACACATTCATTAAAAGTACATATATAGTAGATATAAAGAAAATATGCTAAATAAATTTAGATGTTTGTATTACATTATTAACCAATATATCTTTAATTTTCACTATTTTTTTAAGTATACAATTACTATTTTTATAATCAGGAAAAAATTTTTTTAAGAGAGAGAGAGAGAGAGAGAGAGAATTTTTTAATATTTATTTATTAGTTCTCGGCAGACACAACATCTTTTATTTTATTTTTATGTGGTGCTGAGGATCGAACCCAGCGCCCTGCGCATGCTAGGCAAGTGCGATACTGCTTGAGCCGCATCCCCAGCCCAGGAAAAATATTTTTAAAAGCATAAATAAAGTACATGATTTTAAGCAATTGATTTCTATTTTGGGGGGAGTTTCCTTGACATTATGGTATTCAAATACTTAAGCAACCACAATGATGTTGACTCTAATTGTATAATTACCTAGAAACAAGTGCCTTTTTGTATTCAAGTAAAGATTCTTTTGGCATTCTTTTGTACTGTCTTTTAAAAATATCCCTTCAAAAAGTTTTTTTTTTTTTGATGAAATCTAGTCTTTAGTACCACATCAATGCCTACATAACAAACATAAATGAAACACTGAATGAATATTAACAATTATGGCCCTGTCTTTTTGGGTTTGTTTTTCTGAGTTAAAAATCACAAGACTGCAAATTACAAATACCTGTAGGAGACCTAATTTGTCTACATACAACCGGCCCTGATGCTCACACCAAAGCACTCCTAAATTTATTACGAAAAATTAGATGGTTAGGGCTGGGGTTGTGGCTCAGTGGTACAGCACTCGCCTAGCATGTGGGAGGTACTGGGTTTGATCCTCAGCACCACATAAAAATAAAATAAAGGCATTGTGTCTAAGTACAACTAAAAAACCCAAAATATTAAAAAATAAATTAGATGGTTAAATGTAGACACTTAAATGAATCTGAACTACCTCTAAAAAACAGATTTGTAAAAAAGATAATTTGGAGCTGGGCACAGTGGCACATGCCTGTAATCCTAGCAGCTTGGGAGACTGAGGCAGGAGGTGAGTTCAAAGCCAGCCTCAGCAACTTAGTGAGGTCCCTAAGCAACTCAGTGAGGTCCCTAAGCAACTCAGTGAGACCCTATCTCTAAATAAAATGTAAGAAAAAAGGGCTAGGGATGTGGCTTAGTGGTTGATAGCCCCTAGGGGTTCAATCCTCAGTACCATAAAAAAGATGGTTTAGAGTATAAATTATTCTTATGAAATAATCTTTCAACAGTAAAATGCAGATTTAATTTCCCAGTTTGGCATGTGAACTAGACAAGGAGTTAGCAAATGTTTTTGGAAAGGCTCAGAGAGCAAGTATTTCAACTTCAGGCTTTGTGGGTGGAAAGGTAAAATTAAGGATGTTATATAGGTACTTATAAGATGAGAGAAAAAAGAAATTACAACAATGTAGTAAAAATTCAATACAATTTTCTTTTATAGCAGAAGCCTACTAATAAAAAGAATGATAGTCTTTTTTTAGGGGGAATAATATTTTGCTAAAGTGGAGTTCAAAGTTTATGTTCCCTACTATTAAATAATTACAAATATTCATCTATTAATACTGACTGCTGATCTGTAATGAGTCTTGATATTTTAATACAATAGAACTGTATTATGAGATTTTGGAATTGATGTTTGACAAAGTAATTTCAAACAGGTGGTCCAGCTAAATACCACTGCATAATAAAGTGTTTTACAATCTAATTCAACAATAAAGTAATCCCCACTACATTGTGCCTTAAAAATTGTAATATTAGAGTCCATTTTTCTTGTTTTGTCATGATGATTATATACTAACAATAAATAAAATATGGTGCCAGGCATGGCACTCAAAACATTGTTGAGTTGTAACTATGTCACTGTGATTTGTAGTATACCAGCACCAGTGTGAAATGATGAGAGGACTTTATAAAGTTTGCTGCAACTACTCAACTCTGATGCTGCAATGATTATGACAGTAGGTATACAAATTTATGTGGTTGTATTTCAGGCACTGACACTGAAATCTGAATTTCATGTAATTTTCATGTCATAAAATATCATCTTTGGATTATTTTTTATCTATAAAAAAATGTAAAAATTGCCTTTAGCTCATGAACCATAAAAAATGGACAGTGGTAGTAGGTCATTTCTGACTTGTAATTTGTTGCACTACAGTTGGTTGATCCTAAACTGCATGATCCAGATATCTACATTCTTACCTTCTGGCCAGTTGCCTCAATTGTTCAGCACATTCATTGTCTGACTTCTGGTTTATAAGTTCAAGGATGTTCATAGTTCTATGAAAATGTCCACATGATAAACTCACACTAACAGCTGTTTCATGTTTATCTCCAGTAAGTACCCATACTTTGATACCAGCCATTCTCAATGCTTCAATAGTTTCTCGAACTTTATCTTGTAGTCTGAAAATGAAAGTCACAAAATGGGATAAAGAAATTATTTTTCTGACTAATAAATATAAACTACATAGTATGTGTAAAGTCAAGTCTGAACTCAAACTAGGCATGTTAGAGCATAGCAATATAATTGAAAATTTCTCCTATTAGGGAGGAAACAAGAATAAACTGACTAATGATCATCTGGCTCGCCTAAAAATCAACCAATTAAAATCTGCAACTTCGAATTTTTAGAGTCTATCTTCAAAACTGAATTTTATGAGACCAAACTATGTGGTCTTCATAAACTCCTATTTTATTAGGAAGTGCTCACTCCCCTACTCACAGCCCTGTACCGTTTGGCAGTGCTGAGAATCAAACCCAGGGCCTCAAGCTTACTAGGCAAGTACTCTGCCACTGAGCTATACCCCCTGTGCCCTAGAAAATCTTAAATTTCAAATCAAAAGATTTATATTTCTGTTTTTCTTTTTGACAAGAAAATCATTCTTGTAGTTAAAAAACCAGACTGTGGAAAACAGAGGTCTATATAACTTCAAGTGAATCTAAGAACTCTTATGAGTAGAACTAAAAACCAAATAAAAATCTAGATTAAAAAATATATAAACACCTTTAGATCCAGGGGTAGAAAAATACAAAACTACAGGCTTAATATAGAATTAAATTTATTGCAAGAAACATTGAGAGATACTTGGCAATAAAGACAAATAAATGGGATGCAAGGAATTCACAGGCTAAGGGAATACATATATAATAAAGTACCACAGGAACAATGGAACTACCTAAAAACATGGTGACTTCATAAAGAAGAGAAGTTTTAATACTGTCAGGTGTCAGGAAAGATCTTATTGAAGTGAGGTTAATATCTATGCTATATTGTGCCTTAAATTTTGTGGAGTTCAAAGTGTATTTTATGAATAAGTATTTGCAGATGGATACAGAAGGGAAGAATCATCCAGGTAGAAGGCACAGCCTTGCTAGGGGAACAAGAGTAAAGTAGAATATTTTCTAACTATAGTCCATGTGTAGAGAACTATAGTCAGTGTGGTACCATTTGAGGCATAAAGTAGAAAGGAACAGTGTTGGGAGGTCTGGCTGGAGAAGTAGGCAGGTAATTTATGTTATTGCATGGTACATGCTGAAGAGTATTCAAGACTACAGGGAGAACTACAGACGAGTGCTTTTTAAAGTCCATCTCAGATGTTTGGCTACAACAAAATATGATATACTGATTGGGAAAAATTAAGACTTTAATTCCCTATTTTGATTTCACTTTTTTTTTTTTTTAATTTTTGGGCACCAGGGATTGAACTCTGGTGCACTCAACACAGAGCCACATGCCCAGCCTTTTTTGTATTTTTTATTTAAAGACAGGGTCTCACTGAGGTGCTTAGTGCTTTGCTTTTGCTGAGGCTGGCTTTAACTCATGATCCTCCTGCCTCGGCTTCCCAAGCTACTGGGATTACAGGCATGCACCACCATGCCCAGCTGATTTTAAATATTTTTATATTTTGATTTTAAATATATCAAAATAGGCTGTTAATAAGCAGAACTTAATTCATACATTAGAAACTTGGCTAAAATACTTTTATGAGAGAAAAATGATAATTGTTTACTTATTTGATAATTACCTATCTTCCACTGCTGTAGCTCCAAGTAATATCAGGTCTTTTTCTATAAACTGGAAGACATTAGCCAATTTCTCTTCCCGTTGCTGCAAGGCAGTCCTGGCTTCAAAAAGGCGCCTATCTATTTCTTCATACTCTTTAGATGTAAATTGTCTAAAGGCTATACACAGAGTCCTTAACCCTTTCTAAAAAAAAAAAAAAAACAATTAAAGACAAAAATTGATGACAAATAACTAATGAAAAATGAAATTAACTGGCATACACTGAGGACCCTGAGTTTAATCCCCAATATCAGAATAAAACAGAAATTTAATAAATAAATAAATAAAATAAACGACAAAAGTATCACATTACCAAAAAAAAAATCAATTATGAATAACTTAAAAAGTACTATTGTCGTTAAGTGAGGAAATAAATGTCACAAAGCCCTCATGATCTGAGTTATGGGTCCCACATCAGCCCTCTTTGAATTTCTGATAATTTCTTAAAATGTTGCTCAAAATAATTAAGTTTATTGGACTGTACAATATTAGAGCCTAGAAAGGACTGCAAGGACTATCTTATTTATAGTTTTAAAATGGTTACACAGAAAGCTAGAAAGTTCTATAATGATGCCTTCATGACTCTCAAGAAAGACAGTACAAGGTTTTATTCACTTGGTTGAACTTACAAATCTGCTTTCATTTTTAGGCAAAGAAGACTATAATTTTCTGACAGTTTTTTGTATGACAAAGTCTGACATTCAAATAAAGAAGTCTGTAAAATAGTTATTATCAAACTATATTTTCTAGATCTACCAAATTAACAATTAAAATTTGAAATAATATTGTTTTGTCTTTGGTAGTGAATTAAAATTTTCAAAACTTAGAAATATATAGTTGATTATTTGATTCCACTGGGATCAAAGTTAAATCTCTAAAAGCTGGTATCTTTAAATCTAAAGGCTTATAAAGTTCTTTTCCTTGCTACATATTTTACTCAAGAAAACCCATCATACTTTTCTAATAATGGCAGAAAGGGTAGATTTTAAAAAATACTACATGAGGGGCTGCATATGTGGCTCAGGGTAGAGTGCTTGCTTAGCATGTGTGAGGCATTGGGTTCGATCATCAGCACCACATAAAAATAAATAAATAAAATAATGGTATTGTGTCCATCTACAACTGCCTCCCAAAAAATTTTTTTAAAAATATCATATGACTATATTAAGCAAATTTCTAGACACTGGCATTCCCTGATTTATAAATGATTCACACCTAAAAAGAACATGTTTTATGAATAACAGGGGGTATCCAGTTATTAATATATGAATCAATTAGTTCATTAAAAAACAAATACTGACAGTCAACTGTGTGCTGGCATTTTTCTGGATATTAAAATGAGGATTCTTTCTTTTTATAAGAATCACCTGAACTCTTTTATTTTTTTTTTAAATAAGGGATACAATTTGCATTCTATAAAATTTACCCTTTTAATTTGAAAAAGTACAAATCAGTGATTTTTAATATATTCACAAGTGTATAATCATCACTGTTAATTCCAGAATACTTCATTACCCCACAAAAGGAATCCCATACCCATTAGCAGACAATCCTTTCTCTCCCTTTCTTCTAGTTCCTAGGAACCATTAATCTGCTTTCTTGAAGAATCTGCTTATTCTGGATATTTCATGTAAATGTAACACGACCTTTTGTGAGTGGCTTCTTTCATTCAAGCAGTCTTTTCAAGGTTCATCCATGTTGTGGCATGTATCGGTATTTTATTCCTTTTTTTTTTTGGTACCAGGGATTGAACTCAGGGGCACTTGACCACAGAGCCACATCCCCAGCCCTATTTTTTGTATTTTGTTTAAAGACAGGGTCTCACTGAGTTGCTTAGTGCCCTACTTTTGCTGAGGCTGGCTTCGAACTTGGGATCCTCCTGTCTTAGCCTCTGGAGCTGCTGGGATTACAGGAGTGCACCACCGTGCCTGGTTCAGTATTTCACTCCTTTTAAAGGCTAAACAATATTCCATTAAATGGATAAATCATATTTTGTCTATCCATTCATTAGTTGGGCCTCTGAGTTTTTTACACTGTTTGGCTATTAGGAACAATGCTGCTTTTGAACAATCATGTATAAGATTTTGTGTAGACAAAGGTTTTCAAGTCTTTTGAGTATATAATTAAAAATAGAATTGCAGGGTCAAATAATAACTTCATGTTTACCTTTTGAGGGACTGCCAAACTGTTTTCCCAAAGAAGCCATGCCACTTCTCTTCCTATCAGCAATGTATGAGGGTTCTGGTTTCTTCACATTTGAATTTCCCTATATTTCTTTAGTAACCCCTTTTCTAGGGAGTAAACCAAGGCACTGTGCATGCTAAACATACACTCAGCCCATTTTTTTTTTTTTTTTTTAAAGACAGGATTTTACTTTTAAGACACAGACTGATCTTAAACTCTTGGGGCTCAACCAATTATCTTGCCTCAGACTTCCCAGTGGCTGGGGCTTTAGGAACTGTGCCTCTTTTTTATGGTTCTGCTGGGGTTTGATCCAGGTCCAGGAATAGGTGAATGCTCTATCCCTGAGCTATATTCTTAACTCTAAACATTTTTTTTTTTTTAAATTGCAGTTTGAGTAGTCCTTGTAACCAAAAGTGCCTGGACTGCAACAGATTTTTTAAAAAAATATTTATTTTTTAGGTGTAGATGGACACAACACAATGCCTTTATTTTTAATAAAGGCATTTTATAATGGTGGTGTTGAGGATTGAACTTGGGTCCTGCCAGTGCTAGGCGAGCACTCTACCGCTGAGTCACAGTCCCAGCCCCTGACTGTAACAGATTTGAAGAGAAGACTTACATTTTAAGCAGATAACAATTTTTTTTTTTTTTAGCTTTAGATGGACACAATATCTTTGTTATATGTGGTGCTGAGGATTGAACCCAGTGCCTCACATGTTCTAGGCAAGCACTTTACCACTGAGCTACAACCCTAGTCCCACAAATGAGTTTTTATGTAAAGAATAGGAAGTCAAAAGTGCAATAGAGTGAAGAATTTCATAATTTTTGATAAATATTTTTCTTATTTTTTACAGTACTGGGGGTGAACCCATGATCTCATGCATGCTAAGTAAGCACTCTATTGCTAAACTACAATTCTAGCCTTGACAAATTATTTTAAAAATGAAGGGACTGGGATTCTGGCTCAGAGGCAGAGTGCTTGCCTCACATATATGAGGCACTGGGTTTGATACTCAGCACTACATAAAACTAAATAAGTAAATACAGGTATTGTCTCCATCTACAACTAAAAAAAATTTTAAAAAATGAAGCCCCAAATCTTTTATAAATATATCTTTTAGAGTTTGTTGATTTATAGCACAGAAATTTATACTCACCAAAGCAAATTCATCTACATGAATTCTGGTTTTTTCTATTTCTCCACCTATACATTTTGGAAGAATTGATGATTCAGCTCCTTTAGCAAATAAAAGCTTCTCACCTAAAAGAAAAAAATAGGTTATAAAGCTCTTAATACTAGGTAAATTAAGTCATAAAAGTTCAGATTGGTTACCTGAAGGTGCTTGAACAATTACACTCATTCTCCTACGATCTGAATCAAATTCCAGAATGTGAAGCAATTTGTACCTAAAAAGGAAAAAAAAAAAAAAAAGAGAGACAAAAACCTTACTCTTCCTATTAATGATAAGTGAAAATTTGGAAAGAATCCCTATAAAAAATAAAACACTATTTAAAATAACAAATTAATCTCAATTACATTTTCATTTCAGATTTAGACTATTAAACTCAGAAAGATTAAGTAATTTTCATAAAGTTAAATAAGCTTGTGAGTGGGAGAGCAAGCACTGGAATCCAGATCTGCCCAGTTCCATGTTTTTCTCACTAAAAAAGGTGAATTATTTTCAACACTTATTTTGACAAGTACAACAACACACATTACTATCAGAAGTTCATTAGAGGAGTGATTCTGAGCCTGGTTGTGTATTTGAATAGATACCTCTTCATGGAGTTAAAAAAGAATTTGTGTAAATAGGTGATAGCTTGAAAAATCCAGGTAAATCTTGTACAATGATGGACATATGAAATACCTTCCACATCTCATAGAATAACACTGAGATGAATGATGATTTTAAGTTGATGAAATGACCTAGACAGGCTGCCACAGAAAGTACCCAAAGAATGGACCCTATATTTGTAAAAGCAGAGTTTGGAAAAGGATAACTAGAGCTGAAATATATTCATAACTGATAAAACCACAAAAGGTATAATAGGCATGGATTAACTTATCAAAGTCGAAATAATGGCTACGAGACTGCTGTTTTTTAATATCTGAAACACAAAACCACAGGAAATAGGAGGATAGTTAGGTTGGGGTGTAGCTCAGTGTAAAGTGCAGCTAGCATGTTTGAGGGCCTGTTTTGATCCCTCCTAGCTCTGCAAGAAAATAAACAAACAAGCAAGTAAAATAAATTTAAGAAAAGTTTTCTTTTTTCAATGAGTAAAAATCAATGAAACCCAACCCCAAGAGTGTCTAAAAATAAGCATAGCCGTAATTCAGGAAAAGACTTAACAGAATATTATTATAACTGTGAGGAGATACAATGTGATATTGACATGATTTTAGAGCAGAGAATGGCAAACTTTATGTGAACCAGATAAGTAAATATTTTACAACTTTGCCAGCCATTTGCAGTCTTTGCTGCATATTCTTTCTTTCTTTCTTTAAAAGACAATGTTTTAAAAACATAATGTCATTTACGGGCTATACAAAAAAACAGACTGGAGGTCAGAATGGGCTCATGGGCTATACTTATTGATCCTTGTTCAGTACTATATATTTTGTATAGAGAATACCACTACATATGAAAAAATTACCGTTCCAGTTTTCCAAGTATTTTAACTTCCATAGTTTCTTCAGAATTGCCAATAAACACAATGCCAATTCTAGGGATTAAAAGAACAAAGAAATTTAAGAATTAATGGATGATATTTCATATTTAAAAATATAATTAGCCAGGGGCTGGGGTTGTGGTTCAGCAATAGAGTGCTCACCTAGCATGATTCGATCCTCAGCACCATATAAAAATAAATAAATAAAGGTATTATGTCCAACTACAATTTAAAAAAATATTTAAAAACATGTTATTAGCCAGGCACAGTGCTGCATGCCTATAAACCCAGCAGCTTGGGAGGCTGAGGGCAGGAGAATCATGAGTTCAAAGCCAGCCTTAGCAATTTAGCAAGGTGCTAAGAAACTCAGTAATACTCTAAATAAAATAGAAAATAGGGCTGGAGATATGGCTCAGTGGTCAAGTGCCCCTGATTTCAATCCCTGGTACCAAAAAAAAAAAAAAAAAAAAAGACATTATTATAACTTAGCTTAAGTGAAAATATTTAAAATGAAAGTTTAAAATGTACTTTAAAATGCTTTTTTTCGAATAAATCATTATTTTTAAGAACTTGAAGGATCAGAGAGGTCCAGAATAATACAACCATAAGTATTTCTTATAACTTTTATTATAGTCTTCATAGTAACTAGAGTTTTAGAGATTTTAGAAAATTCAAAATGATGAATTTATGCTTGAAAATTTTAAATGATGGTTTTCTAATATTCTAACATTTACTTAAAAGGTTGTTTTCTGAGGGTTAGGAAATTTGATTCAATTACCTTGCAGCAGCTTCCACTAGAGCCTTTTCATCTGGTGAAGATGCATAATATTCCAACTGGGAGGGTGCCAAGTTGGATTGCCAGGGGCCATCACCAATGCCATCAGTGTGAACATTGCTGATCTGAACAGTGTGGCAGAGACTGACTGCCTTAAAGAAGAGATCGTGTTCTTTAATCTGTAAAAATATAATAATCGATGATAAAAGCAGCAGCGTTCCCCAATATCATTAAGGAAACTACAGACAGAATCCTAACAGCTAAAACAAGAAAGAGTCCAATGACCCAAAGAGCCATGAAACATCACATTGGCTTAAGATCCTTCAACATATGTGCATCTTTTTAGAAGGTATAACCAAACTGCAAGTAAAGGAGAATACCTTTTTGTGGACAAAGTGAGGACTCAAAAAGTGTTAAATAAATTTAAGCTTTATTTCTCAGTTTCTTTACCTCAAGGGCATAACAGCTTTTCTTAACTCTGTTTCATTTAAATACCTGGAGAACTCAGACTAACACACTTGAAGTGACAAGTTAAATTGGGCTGAAACTAAAAATTCTTAGGCTTATGTTCTGTAGTATATTCAAATATATACATTACAAATATTCATTCCTTGCTTCAAAGATACAAACTTTTCCCCCACAATCCATCAACTACTGAAGAGAATTAATGCATATACAACACTTATTTCTTTATTTTTGGTAATGGGGACTTAATCCATGGGTGGCTTACCACTGAGCTATATCACCAGTCCTTTTTATTTATTAATTTATTTTTTGAGACAGGATCTTGGTAAGCTGCTCAGGCCAGCTTCAGCTAACTAGGATATTCTTGCCTCAGCCTCTCAAGTTGCTGGGATTACAGGCAAGTACACATACCTATAGAAACATTTATTTATTAATTTAGAAATTGCTTACTAGTTCAGTTTCATTTTCAGGACTGGTTCTAAAAGAAGAACTGGTTGTAAGATGGGATAAGTTGTTAAGATGAGATAAACTATTCAGATAAGTTAAGTTTCCTTCTGAAGAGTCAGGTGTTGGTCCTTCAGGTACAAGTCTACCATTGATTTCTTGGTATTTCATGCCATTAATCGAACATTCTCGAAACTGCATCTCATTTTCTGTCAACGTTCCAGTTTTATCTGTAAACACATATTCAACCTAGAGAGAAAGAACAAAATAAACCTTGTATTCAAGGTCCTTTGTTGAATAACAAAAACTTTGTCTCTTGAAATCTAGTTGATCTATTAACCTTAGTACACCAATGTTGAGATCTCAAGCATAAGTCCATGCATATACAATATAGATGCCAAGGAAACTAAACAAGGCAACACAAAACATTTTAAATCTATATGAACTTTGATGTTTGTAGCATCTTTAGATACATAATTCCTCTGAAGAACTGACTCACATATAGTATAAGAAATTCATTTCTATCTCATGGGTAAACTATTTTTTAAATAATATAACTAAAAAATTATCACTAAAGTAAGGATTTAAGGAATGCCTTATAACCTGGAAAGTGAAAGGATATCTGGATCTGAAGAAATATGGGAGTAGGAACCCAAAATGATGGCAATGCAAGAGATCACAGGTGAGAAAGTTGTCCAAAATAGGGAAAACTGAAACAGAGGGCAGGAAACAAATACAATGAAAAAATTAAATGTTTAAAAGAAAAAAAAACATTTTTAAAAGGTAGTTAAGAAAAATTATTTTAATATTTTTAGAGACTAATTCCAGAAAATTAATCCTAGAAGATGGTAGGTCCATGAAGAGAGAGACACAATGGTTAAGTCTTGATATAACCAGAATTACAGTGAGGACTTGATTCCTGAAAAGAGAGGTAAGAGCTGGGAATGTTGCTCAGTGACAGAGCACTTGCCTAGTGTTCTCAAGGTCTTGGGTTCAATTTCTAGTACTGCAAAATTTAAAAATTTAAAAAATAAAAAATAAAAAGGGAGGGAGGTAGCTGTCACAAGAAAAAACACACCACAGACCAATGAACAAACACACACACACACACACACACACACACACACCAGATCCAGAAACATATAAAATAGATTATCTACCATGATTATGTGGAATTTATTCCTGGAATAAAAGACGGATTCGAAATTAAAAAAATAAAAAAGAATGTAATCTACCGTATTAATAATATTTGTACTTGATTAATAAAATGACCATCCTAATAGATACAGAAAAAAGATTTGACCAAATTCAATGCCTGTCATGATAAAAATAACCAACAAACTAAAAATATAAAAAGAGCTTCCTCAACTTGATAAAACATATCAAAAAACCCCTCACAGGTACCAAAATATAGAATGCTCTTCTCCTAAATGCAAAGAGAACTAAGACATAGATATCTGTTCTGGCCACTTTTATCAACACTGTATTGAAGTACTAGTTAGGGAAATTAGTCCAAATAAAGGGGGGGGGGGAGAAAGAGAAAAAGAAAAGTTATCCTGATTGAACAAACTGGGAAAATTTCTCCATTTGCATATGAAATGACATTGTATATAAAAAGTCCTAAGGAATCCACTGAAATATCTATTAGAACAAATAACCAAGTTCAGCCAGGATTCTAGGATAAAAGAGCACCACCATGTAGAAAGAAGAGTTCACCTAAGTTATACTCCATGTATGTATACTATTCAAAATACACTCTACTGTCATGTGTATCTAAACAGAATTAAAAAAAGGAAAAGTAGAGTTTACTGCTTCGAGCAAGAAATAAATATAAGTGATAAACACTTAAATGTCCATATTATTGGGAATAGTAAAGATAACTATAACACCAGAGACATAGGAATTCCACTATGTAAAATAATAATAATGATAATAAAGGTGGGTCTGGTGAGGAATGCCTGTAGTCCAGGTACTCATGAGGCTGAGGAAGGAGGACTATACTACAGGAGTTCTGCTTGGAAGCAAAGGAACACCCCATCTTGAAGAAAAAAATAAAAGGGTCGGGGTTGGAAGAGGGAGAGAGACAAAGAAAGAGAGGGAGAAGAAAAAAAATTCCTAAGTAACTGATACGCTTGAACATACAGAGGCAAGAAGCTTCATGTATTTGTTAAGGACTTGTTTGTGGTATGTGGAAATTATGCAAATGAAAGAACAAAGCAATTCTAATTATAAGGAAAACAAAATATAGAGAAAGAAAACAAAATAACATCATTATAGGAAACATAAAGAGTAGGGAATTAATGAATAGTAGTCAAATGATATCAATCAATAAATAATAAATTCTAATTTGTGAAATAACAATATTGAGGGGCTTGGGGAAGTAAGGGGGGTTATGTGTCAGAATATGTATGGGAAGGAAGAGTATGAGTTTATCTTCATATTTCATAATAGATAATTTCTAGCATGTTAAAATTAAGAAAGAGTGTAGAAATACACTGATAAATAATAAAAAAAGCAACTTAAAAATTAAAAATGGAATTAGATGTAGAACAAAGCAGGGATGTTTTTGATATGAACTTTGTAATATTTGTTATATTAGCCTTTGTATATGTATTGTTTTAAAAATAAAATATTCTGGTTATATTCACCTGTCCAAGCTCTTCATTAAGATCAGAAGTATTGACTTGAGCTTTCTGATCTGATTCTTCATGATAGAGATCAAGATCCCAGCCAATAAAAAACGATCCAAGAAATTTTTGCATTTCAACTGTCACATATAATGAAATTGGAATGATGAAATTGTAGAGTACCAAAAAAGCAAGGAAATCAGAAATAAACCTCAGAATCTAGGAAAAAAGAAATGATTATTTGATAAGAGCATGAGAATTTCTTCTGTTACTTCTTATCAAAAGGTTTCATACCTAAACAGATCATCAATTATATTCCAAAATAGGATAATATCACAAATTGAAATTCATTTATTAAATTGTCTTTTTAACATTTATTTTCTTTATTTAGACTCTTGATCAGAGTAAAGGAAAACAATAAATTCAAATAATTTGTTACTTTTCAGAAGCTAAAGTCACCTGATATTACTGAAACTGCCTTTGGTAAAATTATAATTATGCCCTCTGGAGTGCACTTACCCACTCTACTCCCTTCAAAACCATGGACAATTAAAATTGAGTGTAAATTCCAAAAAAATATAAGATAATTGCTAGGTTGGAACTGGTAAGAAATAAAAATCTGAAGTACAGATTTTACAGGGATAGCCTTAATCCACGGCATAGCAGAGCCAAATTTCCATTTGAATTCTGCGAAAGGTAAAATAACTGTGAATGATATTGAAAAATATCATCCTGCATTTTATCTGCTTTGTGATCTCCTAGAGATCCAAATACATCTTTCAATGTGTATATTTTAATCTAAGGTTAAATTTGGAGGACAATTATTTACCAAAATTGTAGTTTAAATTCTCTTGGTAGTCCACATTTAATCAGTTTAAACCTTTATACGATATAATTTGTGAGTTACTTCATACCACCAAAACAGAGAAACCTGAATTATATAGACAGGATAGAAAATAAATCAACTTGCTCTTCAAATAATTTTCAATATACAGTAAATGGAATAGAAAACAGAATTTGTAGTATTGAGGTAGATACAAATATAATCAGATTTAAATTTTTTCGATCTGTTTTAACTACTCAAGTCATTCCACAGGGAACGCAACTACTTACACATCCTAAGCTATGAAAAGCTGACTGCTCTTCATTTGCAACGTTGTTTTGTCAGTACTAATGGTTATGTGATCACAGTGTTCCCTCCTATCACAAGCCACTAGCAAAGCACTAACTTCGCCAAAAAAATAGTTTCTTTTATAGCGGAGCACCATAGAATACCTTACTACTATTTCTTTGATGTTCTGTTTTTTGGTTATACCAAGGTTCATCCCATTTTTCTTCAGCTTGCCATGTATACTTCAAGATAGTACTGATGATGGCTTCGGAGATAAGGATTATTAGATAAATTATTAAAAATGTGTTCATTGATCTGAAGCAAGAAAAAGATAATACAAAACATCCAAGTTACTGTCTTCATTTGCTTAGTAATTAATACTTTTATTAAAGAGGATAATAAAATAATAAGGTATTATTATAGCTATTTTAGAGGACACAGTCTTTATTTTCAAGAAATAACCATTCAAAACAATCTATTTACTAGAAATAAAAGGACTGATACATATAGATGTTATAGTAAATAACAGCTTTGGCCAATTATTTTTGCTGTAAAGAATTGTTTGAAGAATTTTAAGTATTTTCAGGACCCATCTCATTACAAATGTACTAACTAAAAAGAACATTTTATGTTTTTTTAATGCCATGTGCTTTAAAATTTTACAAAACTTGGCACATCCACTATCTTTATAAACATTCTGTGAAGAAGAGATTAATCCATTGTTTTTCCTGCTGAAGACCAAAGTCCAAATATATTTCTGTACTTTCTCCAAACCATCAAAGTCAGGATCCCTCTTCCCTTCACCAGTCAAATTTAATGTCACCTGTATGATGTTAAGTTTAAAAACATGCATTTTTCATATAATAAAATAAATGGCATCTTATTAAACAATCCAAATATATTCAAAATAATAAAACAATGGTATAATGAACCCCCACGCATCTAACATGTATTGAAGGCAAATGCAGGTCTCAGGCTTTGTAAAAACTCTTAAGGATGGAAAAATGCCTGAATTCTGGATTTTCTCCATAGACCTTCATAATTTACCCTTATCTTAACTATGCAAGTAATTGATATTCCACTATTTTACAACATAAACTCTATGCTATAGTGAGAACAGGTGGGGAGGAAAGAGATCAAGAAAGTAACTGTTTTTTGTTTGGGTATTATGTATTAGGCACAGTGTTTGACATTCCACCTTTTGTACTGCTCACATTGTTAAAAATAAACATTTGGTTCAAGGGAATAAAACAACTGGTCCAAGATCACATAACTAATTGCAGTGGATCTGAAGTTCAAATTTACATCAGCCTGACTCCAAATTCTGACTTCATTAACCCAGTCATGCCCCACCTTCTGTCTTTGCTCACACTTCCCTCATTGCTCTTCTGCTGCTTAAAATGTCAAAGATATTAACATTTTACCATTCTCATTTCTTCTGTACTTTCCTTCTTTCAAATTACCCATTTAATTTTTATTTTTTTTGTGTGTGTGTGTTTTTATTTTTTTAAATCCTGTCATTTCATTAATTGCTTCTTTTTCTTAGTTTTAGGGACTGAACCCAGAGCCTGGCACATGCTAGGCAAGTGCTCTACCACTGACTTCCTCATTCTCACCACCCTCCCACCCACTTTAATTTTATTTTGAGAAAGAATCTTTCTAAGTTGCTCAGACTGGCTTGAACTTCAGACCTTCCTACCTGAACCTCCCAAGTAGCTGGGATTATAGGCATGTGCCACCATGCCTGGCATCAATTGCCTTTTAAAATAATTACAGGCACACAGGAAATTATAAAAACAGTACAGAGTCTCATGTTCTCTTAGCCCATGTTGACATCTTATATAGTTGTAGCATAATATCAAAACCAGGAAAATGATGTTGTTACAGTATAGTGAATTAGACTGTAGATTCATTCTCATCATTTATAAAATCTGTACTCATTTGTATGTGTGTAAACGGTTCTATATAATTTAATGCTATATATAGATTAACCACCATTATCAAGATATTGAACTTTGCCACAGAACTCTCTTGTGCTAATACTAACAATATTTGCATTTATCCTTTCCTGTAGCTGTATAATTTTGTCACTTTGAGAATGTTGTAAGATTGAAATCATAAGAGTATATAATCTTTTGAGTGTGACTCTTTTTTACCAAGTATAATGCCTTTAAGAGTTATTCAGGTTGTTATTTTTCTTGCTAAGTAATGTTCATTGCATAAATGTACTAGATTTTTTGTTCAACTATTTACCCATTAAAGGACACTGAGAAGTGCTCCTAATAAAGTTATATTTTGCTGTTACAAATAATGTTGGTATGAACATTCCTGTATGAGTTTATGTGTTAACATAAAATCCATTTCTCTGGGATAAATACCCAAGTATGCAATTACTAGGCTGTATGGTAAATGCATGTCTAGTTTTGTAAGAAACTGAAAAACTATTTTCCAGAGTGTTGTTTCCACAATGATGAGAGATCCAGTTTCTTCACCTATTATCCAGCACTTGGTGTTACCACTATTTTTTATTTTAGCTGTTTTAATAGGTGAGGCAATACCTCACTGTGGTTCTAATTTGCTTTTCCCTAATAGGTAATGATGGGAATATCTTTTTTTTATTTTTATTTTTTTGCTTTGTTTTTAATTGGTTCTTCCTAGTTATATGTGATAGTAGAATCAATTCTGATAAGATTATACAAGCACAAAATATATCTTATTCTAATTAGAACCCCCATTCTTGTAAATGGACATGATAATCTGAATATATTTTTATGTATTTATTTGCTATGTGCAACTCTTCTTTGGTGAAATATATATTCACATCTTTTGCTCATTTGTAACTGAATTTTTGTGTTACTGTTCAGTTTAAGAGTTCTTTATATATCTAGAAATAGGCCTCTGGGAGATTTATGGTTTGCATATATTTTCTTCCAGTCTATAACTTGTCTTTCATCATTTTAACAGAACTTTTGAAAGTTTTTTAGTTTAGATGAAATCCAACTTATTAATTATTATATCTAATAACTCTTTGCTTAACTCTAAGTCCTGCAGGTGTTCTACATTTTCCTCCATTTAGCATTTGATGATCTTTATTGGTAGTATAAACTAACGCTTTTTTTTTCTCCAAATTTTAGAGTCTCAAGCCATTTTTTCCAAATAATTTTTTTTTTCACTTTGCCTCTTTCTCTTACTTGGGGATTCATTTATACTAAAGCTAGACAGTCTAATGTTATCACACCTCCTCTGAAGTGCTGTTCTTTTCTCTCCAATCTTTTTTCTCTCAGTTCTTAAAATTGAATAATTTCCCTAAGTTCAGTAACTGATGTTAACTCTATCCAGTAATGTTTATCTTTTAGTACTTATATTTTTCAGCTCAATAATTTTCATGGGTTCTTTTTTAAAGTTTCCATTTCTCTTTTGAGTTTTCCGTATGTTCATTCATGTTTTCTTTTAGGCCCTTGAACAAAAACGAGAGTTTTCTCATTTGTTCATTCGTATTTTCTTTTAGCTCCTTGCTTCAAAATTCTTATTTGCTAATTGTAAGATTTAGATTATTTTGGAGACAATTTCTATTGAATGCTTTTTCCAATAAAGTACGAGTTACATTCTTTTTTTATTGCAGACTTTTCTTTTTGGTGGTACTGGGTATCAAGGCCAGGACTTTGCACATGCTAGGCAAGTGCTTTATGTCTGCTTATTTTTTTTAATGCATACTGGACTTTCTAAATAATAGGCTGCAGAGCCTATATTATTTCATATTTCTCAGAAGAGTGCTGATTTTTATTTCATTAGGCAGTTAACCTGGTTGGACTTAACCCCCTCAATTCTGTCTCCACAGAATTTCACTACTTCCACAGTAAGAAGTAGTGAAATTCTCTGTTCAGTTCTTTCAGCTTCCTACTACTATTTTGTTTATTTTTTTCCCCAAGCCCACTAGGTATACCTTGCACATATATATATGGTTCTAGTAGTCAGGCAAGGATTTGAAAGAAATTTCTGAGGTTTTCAAGTTCTCTAGCTCTCTCCTTACATATTTGTCCCTAACTTTCCAGCTGCTCTTCCATCACCTTTGAATCGTGTCCTCTGGTATTTTAATCCAGTAATCTTTTCTTCTTTCCTCTTCCTCCCTTCCCCCTTCTTCTTCTTCTTTTATTTTTTCTTGCAGTGCTAGAGATTGAACCCAGGGTCTTATGTACATTAAGCAAATGCTATACTGAGCTGAGTCCACATCCCATGCTTAGACTTTTTGATGTCCTTAGCAGTTCATAAATTGGGAATGCCCTCAGACAAAAGTTGTATTCAAATCTTTTCCTTTGGTGTTGACATCTTTCAAGATTAGCCTCCTTGCTGGTTTCTGCTTACTTTTGGTCAATTTCCAGTGTTTTCTAATAGCTGATTATTTTAAAACGTGTTTTTTTTTCCTTTTAAAAATTATTATCATAGGAAGGTTATCCTGTTCAAGTGATTCTACAATTTACCCAACACAATATTTATTTTTAAAGTCATATTTTAGTATGCCAACATGCAAAATGCTGCCTGTACATAAAAATATAAGACACTGCCCTGCCTCCAAGGACACAATTTTATTGATATATATATATATATATATATATATATATCTATATATATATTATATATATATATATATACAATTTTCTTACTTTTCTACTGCAGATCGTTTCTGTGACTTGCTCTTGTAATTTAATGCCATCTTAGTTTCCATTCCAGTGTATATAGCAACACCTACCAAACAAAACAAAACAAAACTTATTTTAAAAATAATCCTCTGGGCTGTTTCACAGGAAATAAATGTGCTTAACAGCATGAAACCATCTTTAAAAAAGGATTGTCTGACAGTTATTGTACTTTTGGCTTTTCTCTAAGTCTTTTAAGTTTTTAAAGTCTTTCCAAGTCCAATTTTGTAGAAACCCTAATCACTCAGCCTGCTGGACAAGGAGGCCATGAGAGTCCTGTTCCAGAGTTATAATGGATTCCTGAAAGAGATATTATTTGTGTTGGAATTGATAGAGAAAAATGATGAAAAAGATGTATGTCCATTACAGATCGAGTTAACAGTGCTAACTAACAAAGACAGAAACAGAAAAGCACTTTGTTAGGTTGAAACAATGTATCGGGGCCATGTGTGAAAGCCTCAATGCCAGAATCTGGAGTCTAGACATCATTCTATAAGCACTGGAGAGATAATATGGATATCCATCATAGTAAATTACGTAAATGCAAAGAAAATGCCATTTAAAAAATGTGTGCCTATATAAAAGACTCTGAGATGAGTGAGAATGACAGTAATAACAGGACTAATACTGGGAATAAATGACATTTGGCAAAAACAACCTTATAAAAACTTTGCAGTTAGACCTTGGTTTGAATACTAGTCTGCCATTTACTAGTTCCACATCTATGTATACGTAATCTCTTGGAGTCTCAATTTCCCCATCTTTAAATGGAGGAAAAATACCTCATAGAACTGGGAGATCCGTATGAAAAATTAACAAAATGTCTAGAATCAAACAGATAATTAGTAAATGTTCATTCTTAATGCTAAATATTAATCTGAGAAACAATACAGGACTAATCATGCACTCTTTATCCTGGAATTTTTAGTATTAGAATGACTCCTTAAAGGCAGGGGTCATAACTCAAATGAGAAAGGGCACTGGAACTTAGAAATGTGTAAAAATAGCCATAGTGAAACAACAGGAAAAAGTAGTGTTGAGGCAAACAACAGAAAATAGACCCACTTAAAGGCATTAAAATACATATTTTAAGAGTGCACAAAACTGGGACTACTGCTTTAAGGTAAACAGGGATGAAGGAGACATTATTAGAATGATATACTAAAATATACTTACTTGAGCTCTAAAAGCCCTGGAGAGTTACTTTGGTTTCTGCCATCAGAACATTACAATGGATTTTTTTAAAACCATGGTAAAATACATATAACATACAATTTACTATTTTCAGGGGCACTTAGTACATTCACAATTTTATAGAACCATCCATATAAACCAGAGAATATTTTTATCACTCTGAAAAAAAACTCTGCATCCATTAAATAATTGGTTCCCTAGTTCCCTCCTCTCCCCAACCCCTGGGACTCACTTATCTACTTGTGTCTATGACTTTATCCATTCTGGGTATTTCAATAAATGGAATCATACCATTATGTGACTTTTTATGTCTCACGTCTTGCACTTAACACAATATTCAAGGCTCATCCATGTTGTAGCATGCATTACTTCATTCCTTTTTATGGTTAAGTAGTATTCTATTATATGGATATACCATATTTTATTTATCCATTCATTAGTTGATGAACATTTGGCTGTTCCCAATCTTTGGTCATTGTGAAGAGTGCTGCTATGAAGATTCTTGTGCAAGTTTTTGAACACCCATTTTCAGTTCTCTTGGGTATATACCTAGTGTGAGACTGTTGAGTCATATGGTAATACTATGTTTAACTTCCTGAAGAACTGCCAAACTGTTTTACTAGCAGCTGTGACATTTTACACTACCATCCGCAATGAAAAAGGGTTCTTCTTTCTCCATATCCTTGCCAATGCTTATTATTTTCTTTAAAAAAATATGTATATATATAGGATTTATCAGAGAGCCTAATACTGAGAGATAAGATATAATACAGGTAGCAGGAAAAGAAAATCAGGAGCAAGACCTAAAAACCTGTGGGCAACAGTGGGCCAGAGTACTAAGAAGTATTCTGAAATGGGAGGAACTAGTTGATACATAAAGATTATCACGAATCTCACAGTTGGCCTAGAGTGAGTTCAGAGTGTACTAAATTCATTTTCCAAGGCAAGAGCACTATTTATTATTTATTCTGATATAGACAGCATATGTCCCAATAATATGTGGTTTATAGTTAGGTCAACAGGAATTCACTGAATAAATGAACATATGAATGAATAAGACAGCAGTAATTAATCTAATCTAAAAATAATCACAATGGAATTATAGAGATAATTTACTATTCCATGATGCTAGATTATATTAGCTCTCATCCACATTACTAGAAATACCAGAATTATTTTCTTGGCATTGTTTTACAAGTATCCACAAAGACAGTATAAGAGGAAGTTTCTAGTCTCTTACTCACACAACAACAACAACAACAACAACAACAAAACCAACTAGGATTAACAACAAAAAATATAAAATTAATTCAATCTTTGTAAGAAAATTAAAATATATAACATAAGAATTGAATTATTTAACAAAAAGACCATACATGCTGTGTTCTTAAAAAATACAAAATAATATCAATACAAAATAATAATTAAAAATTTAAAAATATATACAGACCAAAAATTTCTTTTGTATTTTTTAATCTGGCTCCACGAAGCAAGAGACTCTCTGGTCCCAAAGGTCTAAGAAAAAAGAGAACATCAAAGAGCACTGAATATATTAAAAATTCAATTCAATTAAAGGACATCTTCAGTAGGAGGTACTCAAGTTATAGCTACAACTCTGCTTTCATATAAAACCAAAATCCCAGGTACTCTGCTACCTAGGCCAACCATGATGTTAGTTATTATAACAACAAACACCTGCTTTAGCATTTAAGTCACTTTAAAGTTAGTGGCTGAAAAATAAAATTAGACATGTAATAAATTCACAAAGCCACTAGTTTCAAAAATTTTTAAATGTTTAAAAGCAGTGATTTAAGAAAGTTTAGTAAAAGATAAAATTTTAAAAACTTGAGCAAAATTAATAAACAGCTTTAGAAGGGAAATACAGAATTAAAATGCATTATAAATGATTATGGTATGATTTGTGTATAAATGCATGAGTTTGCACAACTAAAATTATGCTGGATTACAAAATATAATGTAGAAAGTTTGTTAGTGTCTTTTGTACGCAGGAATGCACATTACAACTTGACTACTTGCATTGAATACTTCTTGGAGCACAGGTCTTCTTGCTGTTTGAATTTCTCTCCATAAAGGAGATTCAAAACCACAAGGTATAACTAGAAAGGAAATTGTAGTGATAGCAAAATGAAGAGTCTGTTATGGATAAGTTAAAAAAAAAACCTTCAGTGTGTTGATATTCCTTATGCTTTTCTGAAACATATATTTATCTAAATCGAACAGAATCTGAACCATTTATGAAAGTATCTGCAAACCCAAACACTGTAAAAAATGCAACAGAACCAAGGAGGACTAGGTGTTTGGAATATGGCTAATAAGTATGGTTTTATTACATAGTCGTATTTGGAGTCCTCTCTATGAATATTGCAACTAACTATTCAGAAGTATACAACAATTCTTTTGCACTTAATATTGGATTTAACAATGGATACAAATCTTTTGAGTTGATACTAGTATACAAAATTGGGCTAAAATGACAGCTTCAGATTAAAAGGTAATTCATCAGTTCACTCCAGTTGCTACAGTAAAGAAAGTAGTTCATTTTTTGGCCACTAGGAGCTGAAGTCACATAACTGCTACCTTCCTTTACCAGCCACAATATCTTAATGTTAATGAAGATAAAAAATCCACATATTTTTTCATTATTTCACTACAGAAATAAAAATAAAATCCAGTCAGTTATTCAGCAGGGATCCTACACATATCAAGATCTTATTAAAGTTTATAGAATGTGGTTCTGTGTTAAAATTTATTAAAAATGTGAATCAGTGCTGATGCATGAATTTTTGGTGGCTTGTCTTTAGGATTTCATTTTAAAAATATCCAATTCATTCTGTTAGTGACTTATTTCATGCAGCTAGTATAAAATGAATATATCTTGGCTGAGGTTGTGGCTCAGCAGTAGAGCACTCACCTAACACGTGCAAGGTGCTGGGTTTGAGCCTCAGCATCATATAAAAATAAATAAAATAAAGGTATTGTGTCCAACTACAACTAAAAAATACACACACACACACACATATATATAAATGAACATGTCCCCCCAAAAGAAGTGCCATGTCAAATTTGATTAGAAATTCAAGGGCTGATTCCAACATTGATTCTAAATTAAGTTTTAAGGTTATGTAATTTCTTTCTACCAGCTAATCTTTGAACTGACCCAAAGTCTTTCATTTAAATCCCCAAAATTAACCTGAATTTTGAGGAAAAACAAACCAAAACAATCAACCAAGCAAAAAACCAATAGAAGAGTGAGTGAATGGTCCTGGACTGGTCCCTAAATACTCCAGTTTGAAATCCATGATTATGAAGTCAGGAAGACCATTGCATTTATACTTGCTAAATATTACATATGAAAATTTTCACATTCTTTACTTTTTTAGTGCTGGGGATAGATAGAACCCAGGGCCTCATGCATGCTAAGCACATGACTACCACTTAGCTATGCCTCCAAGCCCTCATGTTCTTGACTTTAAGCATGGCTTTAAATACATAAGGATCTGAACACAGCAGCTATTTCCTTTTAAAGGTACTACCTAATATTATTAAAGAGAGAAATAAAAATATACAAATCTTACTAAATTACTTGATAACATTTTCTAAGATATTTTACCTTTACTCATTGCCACCATAAATTACCATCATATAAAGTGCTAAATGCTTTTATATTAAACTTTTCTGATACACTGTTGTTTACTTATAATTTCCCTTTACCTTTTAACCCCTCCCACAAAGAATTCCCACTTAAGAGTAATTAGATAATGTGAATTTATTCTTACCTTACAATTTCTTCCATTTGTTGAGTTATTATCATTCGTCCCATGAATCTATAAAAGAATGCACTATGTTACAAAAATATATTACTTATAAATCAATGGGTAAAACACCTTAGTTTTAGCACTAGTTTTGCATATATATAAAACAAAAATGAACCTTTTGCATATATGAATGTTCAATATTCATGCTAGAAATTATAAAAATAGTCCTTTGGCTTTATTTATTTATTTATTTTAATTTTTTATTTTTTTTATTGGTTGTTCACAACATTACAAAGCTCTTGATAGTCCTTTGGCTTTAAAACACTTAGTAATCTTGCCTTTTCTACTCCTGGTAATTAAGAAATTAAAAAAATTTTCAAAATATAAATGCTATGGTTTTAGGCTCAAAGGGTTCTACGAAAGGCGCGTGAGTGTTGTCCTGGCAGTCACAGCTGGCACCTCCTTCTGACTTCATTCGATTTTTTTTTTTTCTTCCATTCACGGAGGTAGAAAGGCCTGCTAGAAAGCCATGGAGAGCGCTCTCCCTGCTGCCAGCTTCCTGTACTGGGTAGGCTTTGGCACCGTGGCCTACCTGTCCCTCCGCATCTCGTACTCGCTCTACTCGGCTCTTCGCGTCTGGGGTGTGGGTAACGAGGTGGGGGTCAGCCCGGCGCTCGGTGAATGGGCAGTTGTCACAGGTAGTACTGATGGAATTGGAAAAGCATATGCAGAAGAGCTAGCAAATCATGGAATGAAGGTTGTCCTAATCAGCCGATCACAAGACAAACTGAACCAGGTTTCCAGTGAGATAAAAGAAAAATTCAAAGTGGAGACAAGGACCATTGCTGTTGACTTTACATCAGAAGATATTTATGATAAAATTAAAACAGACCTGGCGGGTCTTGAAATTGGCATTTTAGTGAACAATGTGGGAATCTCATATGAGTATCCTGAATACTTTTTGGAAATTCCTGACTTGGACAATGCCATTAGGAAACTGATAAATATTAATATTCTTTCTGTTTGTAAGATGACATGAGTGGTGCTGCCTGGCATGGTAGAAAGGTCTAAAGGTGCAATTCTGAACATCTCCTCTGCCAGTGGCATGTTTCCGGTTCCACTATTGGCCATCTACTCTGCGACCAAGGCTTTTGTAGATTTCTTCTCTCAGTACCTCCATGAGGAGTATAGAAGCAAGGGCATCTTTGTGCAGAATGTCCTGCCATTTTACATAGCTACAAAACTGGCTAAAATCCGAAAGCCAACTTGGGACAAGCCCTCTTCAGAGACATTTGTGAAATCTGCAATTAAAACAGTAGGCTTGCAGTCCCGAACCAATGGATACCTGATCCATTCTCTTATGGGCTCAATAATCTCCATCCTGCCTTCTTGGATTTACCTTAAAATATCCATGGGTCTCAACAAGTCTCTGAGGGCTCGCTATCTGAAGAAAGCCAAGAAGAACTAAACGTCATCCCACAGCCAGATGCTTCTGCCTGTACACGTTCGCTGCAGGGCACCCACCAGTCCCCAGAAGCTGCTGTTCTCATTGCAGCAATTGCTAACCTGGCCAAATGATGTCATGATTTGGAGGAAAAAAGAAGTTGCTTTTAGAAGTTCCCGACACATGTTCTGGATTCCACCAGAACTAATTTTGAAGTTTAATATAAACACTCATATAAAATGGATGTAGAACTCATATTACCAAGAACAATTTAATAGGAAAAAACATGATTATAGCAAATCACAGAATGACAAACATAAAAGCCATCTGTTCCATCTGGCCCCAAAGTCAGTGATCATTATTATATTTTCTCTAAAAACATACCATAAAATACAATCACTAGCAATTCTTTTTTTCTTTTTTTTAAAAAATTTTACTCACTTTGAGGGAATGGGGATTAATTAATTTGCTTGTTGGTGACAGTAATGATTTTGAAAAAATGGGGAATTAATTTGCTTTTTGGTGGCCAAACTGTAATTTACATAGATCTCTATAAGGTTTTCTAAATGTATATACCAATTTATATGTTTATATGGAACTATTCCTTCTAAAAAGTATAATCATGAAAGAGGGAATTATTTCTGACACGTAAAGCCCACTAAAATAAGCTTTATTATAACATGTTATTTCTTCTCAGTTTACACAAATGTAAATACTGAAACTGTGCAGTATGATTGAATTATAAAGATAAGAGGACCAAGGCTGGGGTTGTGGCTCAGTGGTAGAGTGCTTGCCTAGTACGCATGAGTCCCTGGGTTCGATCCCCAGCACCACATAAAAAAACTAAATAGCGTACAATGAATCGAAAAGCTTTCTGCTGTCATGTAGAACTGATTAGAACTAATACAAAATAAGTTTTTTAAAAACGAAGTTTAAAAAAATAAAGGTATATTAAAAAAAAAAGATAAATGGACCAAAATGTACATTGAGGCTGACCATCCCTATGGTACCACTGACACCCCAACTCAGGACCTGCACAGACCCCAGCCTTCTTTGTTTTCGCTTTGCACCAATATTGCTCACATGTATGAAAACAGACTACTTAAATAATAATGGCTATCATGGAAATGGCATTGTACTTCTTAAATTGGAACCCTACAGTACTGATACAATTAGCTTTAATAAAAGGTGATATAACCATGAAAAAAAATATATAAATGCTATGTTTTTACTATTATTATTTGTTTGATCATCATGAGAATTTATAGTTTTTACACAAAATGCATGTTAGTTAGCCAACAATGAATATCTACATGTTTCATTATAATTGACTAATGACTCTTGTGACTATATGTCACTGAACCAGCTTATACATTCATTCATTCATTCAACAGATATTCACTGAGCAACTACTTAATGTATGAGTTATATGGTAGGGATAGAGTAGTAAGCAAAAAACCTATCAGTGAACTTCTGGACTTCTTTAGCCTTGCAGTTATATTTAAAGTGTCCATTGCTTGAAATCTAGAGTGAATGGTATAATGGACTTCCAGCTGGGCCTTTCAATCCCAACTTCTACCACCAAAACATCATCAGAGCAAGGAGTCAATTCATGAATACAGTTACTTTTTACTATAGTAAGAAGCAAATTCTGAGTTGAAGCAAATTCTAGACAAAGTATCATGTTAATCTTTAGGCAAAGAAATATTAAGTACTCCCTTTCAAATGTCCCCTATGATTCCGTTTCCAAGTCACAGATCCTTTATCCCTTGGAGACTTTGACTTCATTGTTTCTTTCCAGTTTCTTATTTCTATTTTTGTCAGTTTATGTCAATGCGAAGTACTGTTCTTATTTTCTCCACTTATAGTGGAATTTTATGTAGTCTTGACTCCTAGACCTTGAATTTAGATTCAAAGAAAACAATTTGGGCTAGGGATATAGCTCAGTTAAGAGAGTGCTTGCCTTACATGCACAAGGCCCTGGGTTTGATCCCCAGTACCACAAAAAACCAAAATAATAATAATAAAAAAAATTCAGCTAGTGTTTCTCTATACGTTTCAGAGATGATGTGTGATCAGTACTTTTGTTTCCCTTAGCTAAATTCCAACAAAGGAGCTGTTTCTTTTCTTTTTATTTGTTCTGTTATTCTTTTTTTTTTTTTAATATCTTTATTTTATTTTTATGTGGTGTTGAGGATCGAACCCAGGGCCTTGCGCATGCCAGGCGAGCGTGCTATTGCTTGAGCCACATCCCTAGCCCTGTTCTGTTATTCTTGATTCTAGGCATTTCTAAGTTATCTGTTCAGGTCAGTTCCACACTGGCCCAATCCATCTTGTGTCTTCTTTATCCCTTGTTTCAAATCCACATTTGATGTTCTTCAAAATCACTTTATTATTCCCCTTTCAAATACAAAAGCTACATACATACTCAAATATATGAGTATTTTATAAAACAATTAAGAAAATATTTTTTAAAGTCACAATGTTGGTAATCCCACTACCAAATACAAATTCTGCTAATATTTTGGAGTACATTCTCCAGGTTTTTTTATATTCATATGCATGTATGCGTGTATGTATGCATCTTAAAAACAAAAACAGGATCACAATATAAATAGTGATATTAACATTTTTCTCCCAACTTAACGTGCCCAATCAAAAGCATATCTACACCATTATTTTTAATAGCCACACATAGTACTGCATTTCTTGGTTATTGCATAATTTATTCAAACCACTACTATGAAATTTAGGTTTATTTCTCCACTTATGAACAGCCTAAACAATATAGTCCTGACTGAATAACACTGCATATATATCCTTTCACATTTTCATTAAGATAAATTCCTAGAAGCAAAATGTTATTTTATTAGGGAAAAATCTTAAATATAGAAGAGCTATGTAAAAGTCTAAAATATAAATGGTAGAAAGAAAACAAAGAGAACTAAAGCAGCCCAAAAAAGAGAAAATGAAGACTTCTGTGAAATAGGCACATGCTAGAGGCTGCTCCTAAATAGAAAGGAGCACTATTTTTCACTTCTTTCAGTAGTTTAGCACAGATCACTCAATACCACATGAGTTACTTTCAATAAACTATTAAAAGTTCTTAAAGAGGAATAATGTAATCCCAATTAATAAACAGGCAATTGAAAAGAAGCACAATTTAAGAGAGAAAAACGAAAACAAGCATAGAAAACGACTTAACCTTTCTGATAAAAAAATACAGTTTAAAATCATTATCTATAAAATTAGTAAACATTTTAAAATTATAATACTTAATGCTAGTAAAAATCTGAAACAACAAAAAATCTCATAAACTTTTACTTTGCTTATGTGATAAAAATCAGTCCAATTACAATGCTTCTGTAATTTGTCAGTATATTTATTAAAGCCCCAAATCTATGAGGGCTTAAAAGGAATAATACTACTTCTGCAGCTCTATAGATTTTAGAGCTATATGTGAGCATGCTGGTTCATAACAGTAGAAGTAGAAGATAATGGAAGGCATGCTTTTAAATTCATATCTTCTGCTTAGAATTCTGGTAAATTCTGCTTTTATCCCCTCCCCAATTGCTGTCCTCAATTTCACCCTTCCTTTACCTTCTCCATAAATAATATTACCAATTAGATAAAGATTTGATTTTCTGCTTATGGTTATAAAACCAAAAAACGAAGTCTATTATTAATGGTATTTACAATGAGTACACTGAACATCATACCTGTACAAATCTGCTTCTGGTTGCTGGCATTCTATTACAGCTATAAGGCTGTCCAAATTGGCAACTGTTTGTAATACTGCTGTTTCTGGAACTGCCACGTGTGTCTAGGGGGGAAAAAGGATTAAACTGTAATCAAATGTGACTTTAGATATCAGGTACTTCAAATCTCTTTTACAGATAAAACCTACTGTACTTGAGATAACTCAGCTAGATAATAAAACAGAAGGGAAAGAAAAAAGGGATTGCTGAGATTACCTGTCTATGGAGGCCATTTACATACAAGGAAATGAAGTGTGTGCATACAGTCACTACTGTTCAAAGTTTATTATAAGCAATTTAACAGGGGAAAAATGTGAATTTTCACTCTTGGCTGTAGTCTGAAAACTGAAAAAATTTAAAGTTGTCCCTTAGATAAAAAACCACCATGCCAGGCATGGTGATGCACGCCAGTAATCCCAGTAACTTTGGAGGCTGAAAGAAGAGAATCAAGAGTTCAAAGCCAGTCTCAGCAACTTAGAGGTGCTAAGCAACTCAGTGAGACCTTATCTCTAATAAAACACAAAATAGAACTAGGGATGTGGCTCAGTGGTCGAGTGCTCTTGAGTTCAATCCCTGATGTGTATAGACACACACACACAAAAAAAAATAATCATCACAAAAATAATAAGACTATATTTTTCCTAAAATATACTTTCCATTTTCAACTTGAATTGACTAAACCATGTTAGACCACTCTTAAAATAGATATATAATAACACTTATTCTTTTAAAAAATCATGCTTTTTAAAAGTTTCAGTAATTAAAAAAAATGTCTTCTTCATCAGGTCAAATTTTATTACTTAACCAAAGGAAAATATCAGTAATAACACAAAGCTATTTTGTTCATCAAGAGCAGCACTCTAACATATATATGAACAAACCTTCAAATTAGTTTCTCCATCCAAACTAGCAGTTGTAACATGACATGAACCGTCAAGTCGATCTGAGGACAGAAGCACCAAATCTGCAGGGAAAATTTCATCTTTGGCTATTCGAACAATATCACCCACCTATGAAAAATGTTGGGGGAAAGCTGAGTAAACAGATTTTAAAAGGTAAGGACTTATAAGAACCTTATCAGAGTATTTCACTTCATTTTATTTCTTATTATTTTGGTATTAGGAGTAAAATCCAGGGCCTCCAGCATGCTAGGCATGCACCCTACCACTGAGCTGCACCCCAGCCCCTATCATATTACATTTATGTAGAAAAAACAGGCTAAAGCCTGTTGTACTAAAGTATAATCAAGATAGAAATTAATGCTCTAATATCAAAATACTATTTTCTATTATTTACTAGATGCATACCCGAATGTTTTTTGATCTAGTTTTCACAAGGCCACCACTTCGAACAACATAAACAGGAGCTCCATTTACTTCATTATCTGAGTTATGTCGTAACCAATCTTCATATCCCTGTAAATATATAAAGAATAAAAAAATACCCCTTTCAGTATAATTTTAAAACCATTTTGATCAAGTAAGAAAAACATTGTGAAAACTTCCTTAAAACATTTCAGGGCTGGGGATGTGGCTCAAGCGGTAGCGTGCTCGCCTGGCATGCGTGCGGCCCGGGTTCAATCCTCAGCACCACATACAAACAAAGATGTTGTGTCCTCCAAAAACTGAAAAATAAATATTAAAAATTTCTCTCTCTCTCTTAAAAAAAAAAAGAATAAAAAAAACCACCACATTTCATTCACCAGATATTTGACATTTGTTCTTACTAGAAATACTCTGTTCTTTTGGTTTTCATGATATACATGGTTCCTGTTTTCATAGGCTCTCTCTAGCTACTTCTCCATTTCCTTATTGGAGGTCCACATTACCTTTGTGGACCCTTTTCTCACACTTCACCCTCACTATTTCTGGGTATTCATATAATACAAAATATATGGTAATTCTGAAATTTCTATCTCTAATTCATATCCTTCTGGATTCCAAACTTAATATCTAGCTGCATTATTATCTCCATTTTGATGTCTCATAAATATATTTTTTAAAATTTTAATTAGTTTAATGGTTTGTTGATTTCCTTTTAAAATTACATATATTATAAATAATTTATGGTTTGATATAGGTAGGGGAAGTACAGAGAGGGAAACAAGAACATCAAGAGGAAACAAACAAACAAACAAAAAAACAACATCATTTGCATCCCCAAGAAGCAAACAACCACTGTTGGCTTCTTGTGTCTGCTTCCAAAGATTATTATTGGGTATTTTGGGCTTTTTTTTTTT